GGGTGGGCTGGAAAGGGTCAATGGGGGGAAAGGGGACATATGTAATACTGTCTACGATAAAGAATTATTTTTAAAAAAGACAAAGGGCTGTTGCCTCTCAGGTGACACGCTTGGGAGTCCACACGCGTAGCCGAGAAGTGGCCCCTGGGTTACAGCAACACATCGCAGCGCTGTGACCCGGCAGAATGATGTGGAGTCGCCAAGAGCAAGGGCTTTGGGGGCCCACTGACCTGTGTCCGGGTCCCCGCCGGGTCCGGGAGCTCAGAGCCAGGGGGCTGAGCAGCCTGGATCCCGGCTCGGCCAACACGGGAAAGGTGCCACGGCCTCACGCTGGTCCCTCCTCCCCGCAGCATCTCCGAGAGCCAGCAGCAGCTCTGCCTCCAGCTGAAATTTCCCCGTCAGGAGAACCCAGAGGCCGTGGCCCGCAGGTGGGACCCAGAACCGGGGGCCCCCAGGGAGCGGCTGGGGATGGGTTGGGGTCTGTGCTTCTGACCAGTATTTCTCGTGCCCCTGCTTGGATGCCCGAAGTCTCTACCTGGTCCAGGAGGTCTGCTTGAATCTGCCTGTCCATGCTGTCCATTCGGCCCTGAACCCCAGGCCTCCCTTCCAGCTCTCAGTTCCCCGAGGACCACCCTGCTCCCTTTGACCTCAGGGCCTTTGCACAGGCGGTTCCCCCACCTAGATGTCCTCTTCTCTCTTCCCCTCTTCCTCCTCCTTCACTTGGCTAACTCCCTCTCATCCTTCAGGTCTCAGCTTAAATGCCACCACCTCAGGAAGGCCCCTCTGAACCCCCAGACTTCGTCAAGTCCCCCGTTATCCTCTCTTTTGGAAATTAAGTGTCATCCTTATGGATGAATGCAGCCTTGCAATGTACAGACCAGAGCTGGACCCCAGCCCCAGCCCCAGCTCCCCTCCCTGGCTAGGTCCCCAGTGCCGTGAACAGCCTGCACAGCTGTACCAGCTCCCCTCTGAACCCCTCCTTCCCATAATTGAATAGTAAATGGTGGGACTTGATTTGATTGGCATTTATACTCCCCCTCAAGAGAAGGTCCTTGCCAGCGGGGGGCTGAGTTCCCTCATACTGATCCAGGTGTTCAGAAACGGCTGCCTCCCTGCCTCCCTCCAGGTTGGCTCGCTGTAACCTCGAGACCCACCACAGCCTTCTTGACGGGAAGCTGATGGAGATGTGCACCTGGCTGAGGCAGCTCAGGTCAGCGCCCCGAAACTGTCTGGGCCCCAGTGTCCACTCCAGGCCACGTGTGAGAGGCTGGCCGGGCCCGGATGGGGATGGGCAGAGCCTGGGGTGGTG